TAAACGCCCAAAAAAAAAAAAAAAAAAAAAAAAGAGGAAGACTCCTTGGATGTAATTAAGTTCTTGCTTACTCGCTCAGCTCTATATACTTATATATTAGTTAGCTCGTTCGCTTTTAGACTGATACTGGCTCTAACTATTACTATTAGCTAAGCGGTTAAACACAACCAAAGCAAAGGGAAGAAAGAGTTATAAAGAAAGAGCGATTCACTCACTTTCGAGAAGTAATATTTACCGCTTATTCTTCGTTGGGTGAATCTTCTTCCGGGAAATTCAACTCTGGGAACCTTATCTCAGCCTGAACACACTTGGCTGCGGAATTGTTTGTTTTAGTTATTCTATCTATAAGTGCACGCGCAGCTGATTTCATTTGTCATATTGAACTTGATAGAGGTCTGTCAAAGCGCGCTGTTTGTACACCTTAACCATTGGTAGGGGTAAGGTTAATTACTTTTTGAAATTGAGGCATAATTGATTGATCTTATCAATTAGGAATCGGATAAAAGATCAAAATCTTAAATGGTCCAAAGCAATAAGAATCATGTCTATTATATTCTTGCACTTGTCTTGCACATTTGCGCGCTAGGACCTAGGGGTGTACAAAGGAAACCGACAAACCGCACCAACCTGATAATCCGAGTCAAACTGAGGAAAAAAAAACCCGATTATGGTTTGGTTTGATTTGGTTTGGTGTTGGAAAAAAAAAATCCGACCATAATTGGTTTGGTTTGGTTTTAACTAAAGAAAGTCAAACCGAAACCAAACCAACCCGACATTACGTATATAGAATTTTTAGATATATTTAATATATAAATATACTTATTGTGATGTAATTTATAAATATTTCTTAAAAGATTTCATAATTTTATCTTTTGAGGTATTATTTCAAGGTTGGACTTAGAACTTTTGAATGTTCCAATAAGTTTTATAAGCATTAACATTAGTAAATTAAATAGTGTTAACAAAAGCCCAAACCAAATTTAAATCAATACTAATGCTAACAAAAAACATTCAATCCAATACTACGAACGGGAATGGACTGAATATCTATTTTTTGTTTTGTAATAATTTAGATAAAAATGCATAACCTATTTATTTTAGCATGACTTAGTACTTTTAGATTATGTTTATTTTTATTATGGCTTTTTAACTAGCAATATTTATATTACATAATTTTATTGTCTTTATTGTTGAATATTTTAGGATAACGCCATGACATATCACATATTTTGTATTATTTTCTTGGAAAATATTTTATATAGTTGTATCTTACTAGGACTAAAGAAATACTTTGAGCACAATTCATATGTTTTGTTCTACGAAGATTTTACCGGAAAAAAATCCGAAAACCCGAGAAAAACCGAGAGCGAAAAACCCGAAATTTTATTGGTTTGGTTTGGTTTTTAGATTTAATAACCCGACACAATTAATTTGGTTTAGTAATTATAAAATCTGAACCGATCCGACATATGTACACCCCTACCCCTACGTAGGACCCAATGAAACAAACATCTAAGCCGTATCTAGGTACGTAAAGCCATGCTTCCAAATCCATTTCCACATTTAGATGGTGATGGGCATTAGTCACGATTCTTCTATTTTTTTTTTTTTTTTTTTTTTTTTTTTTTTTTTTTTTTTGAGGAATTTTGCGGTCTACTAATTCCACCTTTGAATGCTCACAAGTGTGCAAAATTCAGAAATGAACCTCATTCTATTCAAAAGGATATGTTCTAACCAGTTTAAAGTTTTATGTACTGATAGTGTAAAAATTATTTACGCAATAAAATCATTATAGGTAAATCTCTATAATACATATTAATAAATAACCAAGTTAAAATGTCAATTCACCTACTATCACATGTTAAACTACATCGGCAATGTGAACTATCTTTAGGCCATCTCCAAGGGCTGCACCAATTTTTGCACCAAATTCAAATTTGGTGCAAAATTTGGTATTTTTTTTGCTCCAATGGAACACCGAATCTTGCACCATTATAGAGCATGAACAGGGTTGCACCAAATTTAGTGCAACACTATTCATCACACTAAATTTGGTTTATTATTATTTTATTCATCTTTTTATTTTTTGGACTTTTAATTTATCATATATTGTGTATATAATTAATTTTTATATTAAGATCTTTATAATTTTAATTTTATATCCTATTATTTTGATATATTAATTTTTGTATATATTATATTTATATAAAATTATAAGTTAATTTTATTATTATTATAATTGTATAAAAAGAAATATAACCATTATTTAAAAATAAAAAATGCAAATGTAAGATATCTAATGTTGCTAAAATTGAAAAGTGAAAACTAAAATTTAAAAACGAAAATTAACAATACATAAAATAAAAATATATTATAATTAAAGTACATCAAATGAGGATACATTAAAATAGAATTACATTAAAAACATAAAACATAAGTTTGGTAATCCACTATGTCATTTCTAGGTGCACCAAAATTACCAAAATACTGAGAGAACGGGGTAGAAGATTGTGGTGCTTATGGTTGTTGAAATTGTTGACTTCTTTTATCGATTATTCGTTTTTGTTCTTGTCTCAAAAATTCACGAAGATTTGGATCGTCAATGGAATTCAAGTTCGTCACCGATTTGAACAATTTTTAGCTCGAATTAAGGATAAAGATGCGCATTTCGCACTTCGTAATGCATTAATCGAGCACTTATGGGAGAATAGAGGCGAAAGTTAAATATATATGTGGTACTTAAATTAAATTTGATTATGATGTATTATTTATTTAATTATCTTTTATCAATGATTTCACTTTTAGTTGATTTATCCTTTAAAATAATTTTGTAATAAATGATTATAGAAGTGGTGAATGTGAATTATATATAATGAATATGGAAAAAAGAAAAAAATAGTATTTGTTTGAAGGAAATAAAAAATGAAATTTAAATAGAAGATAATAATATAATATAGAAGAGAGAAGAAATATTATTTTTTGGTGTAAAAAATGGTGTAATGGTTGAAGTATATTTTTTGTTACACCATTTTGGTATGAAATTTGGTGTTAGGGTTGGAGGTGGTCTTACATTATCAATTTATATAACTTAATTCCTTTGCTAAGCCACCTGCTTTGAAATATAGTGCTTTTTTTGAGCAGAGGGTCTATTGGAAATAATTTCTCTACCTTCATAAGGTAAAGGTAATGTATGTGTATACACTACCCTCGCCGACCCCACCTGTGGAAATACACTAGGTATGTTATACTTATTGTAATTCTTTTACTAAACCTATTTAGTATTTACACACCATAATAGGTGGAGCGTAAAATCAAACTTACAGAGAAAAAGACTGCCTTAAAGACTTAATTTCCAGATTCCCATTTTATGCTACAATAGTTTTCTAATAAAAATGTGCAAAGTTTAATAGATTGCAATTGTTTGTCTAAGCTTGAATATCAAACTCATCAATCATACCTAATGACAACTGAAAGTACTTCTAAATGTATCTAAACAATACATCTAGTTTAATCAACTAAGGTCTAATACAACATCAAATAACACAAAGTTGAAAAGCTTAATTAATCAGAGGCGAATTTAGGGCGAGTTCTTAGGAATTGACAAAACCTATT